CCATGTTATGGTATTTCGGACACCACCTAGAATTCGTTTCAGACAACCCGGTCCCATGAATAGCCAGACCCGAATCCGCCCCGTTTTATAAAATATCCAAACCCGTAACCTCCCCGGATAAAGTATAAAACCAAAACACACCACATTCTCTCATTAGGGTTTCAGAAAAAAAAACAGCAGCCATGGCTTGCACGATAGACTTACGCTTCCTTGACGAAGGCTTCGGCGGCAAGACGTACAAGCGTAAACGCGAACATGAAGCGCTTCAACTACTCACCACCGAAACCACAACCGCCGATGCATCGATGGAGATCGACGCACCACCGGCAAAGCGATCGGCAATACCTTCAACGGATAATCCAGACAAACCGGTAGCCGTGGGAAAGCCAACATACGATGGGGTCATCGCAGGGAAGGTGTCTGGACGGAAGTGGAAACAACCGAGGAAACAGAGAGCGTCGGCGAAGCAAGTGAGCAAGAAGGGCACGAGTTTCGAGGAGAGGCAGAAGGAGAAGGAGATAAAGAAAGCATACAGAGAGAGGAAGAATGAGTTGAAGGAGGAGATTAGGAAGAATAAGGTGGAGAAGAGGAAGATGAGAGAAGAGAGAGAGAAGAGGAAGCAGGAGAATATATTGAGGTCTGGTACTAAGTTGCAGAAGATCACTAACCCTAAAACTCTCAAGAAGATTGCTAAGTCTAAGGATAGGAAGTTGCTTAAGGTTGTTCCTGACGAGCTTGTTAACAAGAAGAAGAAGAATGCTAACAAGAACGATTAGGGTTATTTTTTTCTTCTGAGTTTTATGCTAGTCTTTTCCTGCTGTTTATGTTTTTATCTTATATTCAATGTAAGAATCTTTTTTTTTTTGTTTTTTCTGGAGAGTTTTGGTGTTCAAATCTAATGTGGGCATTCAATGAAAATGCTTATTGTATCCTAAAGATTTGGAAATGGCAACACAGTCAAATTCTTGCTTGCTTCAATGGTTTTCTTTAGGTTTTTTACTGTGGATAACAATGCATAGAGAGTTGAGGATGACAGAATTCTGTATACAATTGAATTAACAATGTTTCCAGTCCTTAACAAAAGAGTGAGTGAGTGTAAAAGAAGGCAAGGTTTGAACCCATGCTGGCATTTTCTGGTTTAACAACATTACATGAGAAGAGAGTGAGCGAGAAGGCAGCATCAAGCACCATTATGCAGGAAGGCCGATTCTTGGTTGGCAAACTCGGTGGGTTTCAATGGGGTCGGTTCCCAATTTCCCCTTGACTGTGCACCTGGGCCTAGTGGCCCTGTGATTGCCAAAAAATAGGGCGGCAACATCAGTTGTCGTCACGACATCAGCTCAGGTTGTCGGTCCTTTCTGAATGCTGACTTTCTTCAATACAAAGTAATAGATAGCAAATCCTGTGTTCGTATGTATAATCCATTTCTTCTTTCTCAAAAGAGGCTGCAAGGATTGGTAAAAAGCAACGCGATGTAGATGGATTTTTTGCCAAGAGCTGCACCTTCCAGAAGAATCTGTTCACTCTTCAGCTATAACATTGCTCGTGCAATCTTGGAGAAAGGAAAGTTGAGCCTCCCTAAGTTTACGCCCTCAGCATTTACCAATAATCCCCGCAAGAGCAAGACCCATCTCTAAAATGATGGAACCTGTTTGAATCCCTGACTGTAATTTCCCTTCCAACTATTTTTGAGATCACCTTGATCGCAGCATGGCAGTCTGTACAAGCTCGCAAGTTCTTCATCACTAGGATTGGTGATCCCTCTGGAGTATTGATTAATGCGAATGCTATTGCTAAGCGTTCACTGTGATATTTAAGAGAGTCAATTTTGCTTTCTTTATCCACGTTCTGGTGGGCACAACTGATATCAGGATCGTACCCTTCCTTTTCCATTTGCTCTGCCAACATTTCAATCTTTCGTAGGATTTCTAACTGCTGTGGGTGTTTGTCATCATTTGCAGAAAAAACATGGACCTTATGTTTAATTTCAACCCAACTATACGCGGGAAGCTTACGGACTCCTCGATTCCTCATTGCCTTCTTCACTTTAACTACACTGTCCCATTGACCAGCTTCTGCAAAGATATTGGACATGGTGACATAAGGGGCAGCATCTCTAAGCACCTTCATATTAAAAAGTTGACCAGCTGCTTTTTGAGCCAGCGCATAGTTCTTATGAATCCTACACGAGTTCAAAACGGATGTCCACACGATCTCATCCGGTTCAAATGGCATCTGACCCATGAGCTTCTCTGCTTCATCAAATCGTCCACTCCGACACAATGCATCGACCATGGCCGTGTAGTGTTCTCTCTTAGGAGCTAGATTATAGACACCAGTCATGTCATTGAAGTATTTCAATCCTTCTTCAACTAATCTGCAGTGGCTGCAAGCAGTTAAAATGCAAAGGAAGCTAATTGAATCAGGTTGATAACCTGACATAATCATCTCTTCGAAAGATTTAAGTGTGCCCTTGCCATCTCCATTTTGTGCATATGCCGACAATAAAGCGTTCCAAGTGACCACGTTCCTTTCTGACATTTCTTCAAAAGTTTTAATTGCATCTTCAATAGAGGCACAGTTTGCATACATGTCCACCAGCGCACATCCTGAATAAACATTCACGAAACCTGATCTGATTACGCAAGAATGTAACTGTTTCCCCAGTAAAATTGAAGCCAGATTAGCAGAGGCTTTTAAGACACAGGCAAAAGTAGCCTGGTCAGCAGTTACATTAGCTCTGCGCATCTCATAAAACAGTTTCAGGCCATTTTCATGGAGTCCTCTCTGAACATTAGCTGAAATCATGGCTGTCCAAGGAACTGTGCTTCTACTGCTCAGTCTCACAAATATCCTGTCAGCTTCCTCAAATTTGCCACACTTAGCATACATGTCAACCAAAGAATTTGAAACGCGAAAATCTGGATCAGCCATTGAAACAATGACCTGGGCATGAAGTTGCCGACCCATTTGCAAATCTAATGAACTTGCAGCTATGCTTAACATGGTTGGAAAAGGGAAATTCTTACGATCAAAAGTTGTAAACTGAAGCTCCTGAAAAAGATCAATCGATTCTTTTACTTTTCCGACCCAAGCATATGCTGTGATGATCACGTTGTAAGAAACACCATCCAACTCCGGCATCTCATTAAAAAGCTTTCTCACTTCATTCACACAATCATGTTTTGAGTAAAAATCAAGGAACGCATTCCCCACAAACACATTCCTAATAAAACTGGTCTTCGCAACAAAACCATGGATTTGTTGCCCAAATGCTGTGTCATCTAACCCTATACTGGCACTTATAACTGCTGCAAAAGTAAAATCGGAAGGCTTGAAACCTATATTTTGCATTTCCACAAAAAGCTTAATCGCTTCTTCATTCAACCCATTGTTTGCATACCCTGTTATCATCACATTAAAAGAAACAGAATCCCATCCACACATTTCCAAAAAGATCCGACGAGCTGAATCTAGGCCACCTGTTTTAAAATAAGAATCAAGCAGTGTATTGCAAACTCTATGGTTCAGATGGTGACCAAGTTTGACAATCTGGGCATGAGCCTGATATAATTCTTTGGCCACTTCGAGGTCATTGCACCCAGTTAAAAGAGTTATATAGGTGACATGATCAGGCTGAGAACCGGACCTATGCATCTTAGCAAAAAGCTTAAACGCATCTCCAAAACGATTACTCTTCGAATACGCACCAATCATAGTTGTCCATGCGACTACAGTGCGTTCGTCCGTATCGTCAAAAATTCTTCTAGCAACTGTAAGATTTCCCGATTTGACGTATCCAGATATAATAATGTCTATGGAGAATGAGTTTCTGTTAGGCATTTGATCAAGCAATTGGCGTGCTTGACATAACTGCCCTCTTTCGGAAAGATCCTTTATCATGAAATTGAAGCGACTCGTGATGGGGTCGAAACCCGTTTTGACGATTCTGGCATCAATGCAGGTCTGGAGAGTTTGACGTGAAGAGGCTGCATGTAGGGTTTTGAGTTGATTTGCCCTGAATGGTGGTGCTTTCACTTTCATGGAAGAACAAAAGAAGAAAGGAAGAGCTATTCTCGCCGTGTCCTCTTAATTCAACGGTTGCAAGGGATTATTATTTCATTCAGAAATTAACATTAAAATTAAATGAAGTTAAATTAAAAAAAATAAAAATAAACTTGTGGATACTTGCATGGTGAATTGAAAAATTTGCCTTTCATTAACAAAGCTAAATAACTTGATTTAGGGGAATATAGTCTTTTACACATGTGCTTTTTTACTTTTTTTTTTTAAATTATTTTCTTGATTTATTTGAGTTTTTTCAATTTATGCTTAATGTTTTATTTGATTTAATTTTTACATTTGATTTTGATTTTGATTTTTTAATTAATATTTTTTATCCTTTTATTTATTTATTTATTTTATCCTTTAATATTCTATTTAACTTTTTATCTAATTTTCATCTTTATTTTTTTATTGTTATTTTTTTCTTAATTTATTTTCCATTTAAATTCTAATTATTTTCTTTCATTTATTTTTCATATAATATTTAGTTTTTATTATTTTTATTATTAATTTTTTATAATTAAAAATTATACTTTATTATTTTTTTATATTTATTTTTTATGAAGTAATTTTAATATCATGACCCAATCTTTCAATTTAAAAAATTAATCTAGTTTAAGTTTATTAATAAAGAATGATTTGTTATCCTTTAAGTTTTGTAATTTGATATTTTTTTTATGAAGTTATTATTTTTATTTTATATATTAGATTAGAAGTTAATTAAGTTAATTTAAATAATTTATTTAATTTAATTTTTTTATAAAATTAACTTTGTTTTTTTAAAGCTTCGATTTTAAGTTGAATTAAAAAAAAAAAACTCTACGAAACCTAAAAACTTAATGCACCCGACTAATTAAGCTCAATTCCAATATATATTTTAAAAATACTATTTTAATATAAATTATTACTGTAGACCGATTAACTCCAAAAAAGATTTCCATGAGACCCTGAACTAGTTGACCAGCTAAAGCTAAAAAATGGCTTGGTTTAGCTGCTGATGGTTGCTTGTTTCTCTTCAAATGTCTGTCACAGCGCGATCCCAAAATCAGTAGAAGAAGAAGAAGAGAAGAGAGAATGGGAGGAGGTGTCTTTTACTACATATTCTCGTCAGCAGGACTGATTGCACTAGCGCTCTACCATCTCATCTCCACCACCACCACCTACCTCAAATCTCCACACGCTTACATCGCCAAACCCTACTACCCTTTCTCCTCCTCCCATCGCTTTAAATACCTCCAGCTTTACCTCCTAGTCCTCTGCCTCCTCGTTGCCTTTGCTCACCAAACCCTAGTTTCCTCCGACTCCGACCCGCTACTCAAGGGGAGTACACCTGTCCACCGCTTCACCTCTCTCCAATCCGCCGCCGTCCTCTTCCTCTTCCTCATCCTCTCCCTTTCTCTCCTCATCTCCGACTCCACTTCCCTCCTCCCTCTCCCTTCCGATCTCTTCTTCGCCCTCGCCTCCGCCGTCTTCTTCCTCCAGTCCTCATCCTCCGCCTCCTCCGCCTCTGTCCAGACCTCCGATCTCCAAGCCAAATGCGACTCCGTCTCCGCCCAAATCTCCGCCCTTGCCGCCCTCCTCTGCCTGATCCTCGCTTGCCAGCCTAGAATGTTCGTTGCGGATGTGGGATTGGGCGGGGCTGTTTGCTTGCAGGGACTCTGGATGCTCCAGACAGGACTCTCGCTTTACGTGGACGCGTTTATTCCTGATGGTTGCCACAAATTGCTGGATGTGGTGAGAGGTGTGGAGGGATCGACGAAGTGTGAGTTGGAGGATTCTAGATTGAGAGCGGTGGCTATTTTGGATCTGGTTTTTGTGGTCCATGTCATGTTTGTGGTGCTCATTGTTATGGTTACTTATGGTGTTATTGCTAAGAGTTATGGGGTTCGAAGATTAGGGGGATCATACGAGGCTTTGCCTACTGCTGCTTCTTCAGTTGCTGATTCTTCTTCTAATCATATTCAAATGAAGGCCTTGACAGGCACGCAGGCCTGATCTTTGGTTAGTTCATTCTTTCTTTCCTTCTATTTTGATATGAGACGATGATGATGGTTATGCTACTTGGGAACTCAAGAAGAAAGAAAGTCATTGTATCACTTCTTTTTACATTTTACGTTGATTGATTGAATGAGACATTGTAACCTCCTGAAACTCGACCAGTTTTTGTGCATACAAACCCTTTTGCTTTTTTATTCGGTAGCTCTGTTTTGTTCTATCCAATTGTGTTGATTTTTGAATATTTGTGTGTGTTTCTTGATTTATTACTTGGTTAGCATGCCTTTCTTTGACTATACTCAAGTCTTCTTCCGTAGATTTTACTCGGTGTTTTAAGGTTCGAGTAAGCGAAACTTGTTTCTGTTATCCAGATATCCAGCTGTTGCTCCTGCATTTTTCTTTTCCTGCCCAAGATTGCATTTGTAACAATGAGTAAGCTGATAGGCACACTATTGAGATTTTGAGATTGGTGGTTGCCAGATTATGAACCATGTTGTATCCCTTGAATGTAACTTTATAGAGCAGGCAATGCAGAATGAAATACTTGGGATGACGCATTGATAATTGATGCTGCTGCCTTCCTGCACTCTTTGTGTACTTGGCATCTTAAATTTAATGATATGATATAAAAGAACTATGACTTGTTGGTATCACAATAGTATCTGCTAGGTTGTTATATGATCATTACAGAATTTTATTGTCCCAGGATCAACATAGGCATGTCATAAAGTCTTTCAAGAAACTGATAGAATTCTCATGCTGGTGTGGTGGTTTCTAGGTTGTGATCAGGGCAGAGATTTTCAAGGCTGAATACAAATGCAATAGATTACATAATATCAGCTTGTAGTGAGTACTAGCGTTTCCTTGTGATATTGACCCTGTTAAAGGACTGTTGAATTGGTTGTCTTTCTATGTTTCCCTCTACGGCCACCATTATTTTTGAAGGCAGGGTCGTTTTCTTGTAGCTATGTTTGCTCTCTGAGTTGAAGGCGCCAAGTCTCTATCATTCTCGTTTGGAGTACATTCTTGGTGCTTCCTTGGGGCCAACTGATGGATAGCTACCTTCCTATATAGACTTGTTATTTTTATCTTTTGGAAGAACTTAGACTCTTGAATTTCTTGAAGATCTTTGGGTGTTCTATCATCATATGATCCATTACTACTTTATTATCACTCCTTAAGATTACCAACTGGGGAACAGTTCACTTTTGGCGTAACTAGCTGAATCAATATATCCTTCCAGAGAGCCAATAGAATGAGGAGAACGGTTGTTTGAGTGACTTGTCTAATTTCTCTATGATTTCTTGCTTCCTCATACTTTAATTTGTGGACAAATTGGGCAGTTAGCATAGAAAAAAAAATAAAAAATGCTTCAATTAACATGGTAGGAAAAAGATTTGGTGAGATAACCTTTCCACTTTTGAATGTCGTGGTCTTGAACCACAACATCTAATTGATGTCACACAACCATGAAATTTACAAAAGCTTAATTGATGTCGTTGTTCCAAACCACAACATCAATTAAATTCTGTGGTAAACAACTATTGAAGAAAGGACTGGAGTGTTTAGCTATGGGAAGGAGATGTTGGTCTGAGTTCTTGAGGGCTAAGACAGGGTAGAGGTCGGGGCAGGGACAATGCTCATGAACATGTGGAGTGTGGAGTGAATCGTGGTTTGTAAATAATGTCTAAAAGGTTGTTGATTTCTGTCACCACCACTCAGAAAAGTGGAGGCAGGGAAGAGTTCATCACATATCATTCTAATCATCTCCTTGTCTTCATCCATCCTCCGTGTTGAAAACGTGTTGGGTATGAGAAAGGTTAGAAGCGTGGGCTTGTTATTTTTAAGGAAGAAAAAGTTTATTTTGTTTTATTTTGTGTTTTAAAAGTATTTAAAAAAAATTAAATTTTTTTAATTTTTTGAATTAATGTTTAGTTTTGGTGTTTTTAGATTATTTAAATATGTTAATATCAATAATGATTTTAAAAAAATAAAAAAATATTATTTTAATATATTTTCAAGTAAAGAATATTTCGAAAATTTTCTATAATTATATTCTCAAACAATGTTATTTTTTAGGATGGAAAAAACTTGTAAGGATGGAAATTTATTTGATTTTGAGGTTTAGAATTGCAATACCAATTAAATTTTTGTTTTGAATAGTAATATTTATTAAGTATTTTCTATCTAAAGTGTGATATTTAATAAAAGTCATGTTTATCAAAGGTGACAAGGTGAAAATGTATTATTTCACCAAATTCTTTTAATTATTATGTTAATTAAAAAAAAACCTTAATTTGTTTAATTTCCTCGCAAGATGTAGGGGCGTACGAGACAAAAATGTAACATGTTTGGTCAGCATAAACGGAGACAGCGAAACTTAATTTTGTCTGTCCCAGTACAGAAATTGCTTATATTATTTCTAAAATTACAAGTCATGTCCATCAAGGTCATTGATTCTGCACGGGTTGTTTTTAACCATTGTATTTGAGGAAACAAAAATTGGATAAAACAACTTTGAAAGTAAAGAAAATGTTCAGATATTTTAAATGATCTTTTTAATAAAAAAAATTTAAATATTGATTTTATAATTTAATTGATTTGTTAAGTTTAAAGTAACTTGAATAATTAGTAAAAATACATTTTAACTAAAAATATTAATTAAAAAAATTCAAGTTAATTTACGTTAACTTATTAAATTCGCAACTTGAGTTATGAAACCATGATAATTTTATATAAATCATATCAAAATAAATTATATATGAAGGTCAATTTCTAATTAACTTAAAATTGAAAAAAATAATCAATTAAAAAAACAAAAAAAATATGAGTTAACTTGAGTTAATTTATCAAATTCATTACTTGAGTTATGAGATTGTGATAACTCTATAAAAAATAAATTGAAACAAATTATAAAGTTTAATTTTTAATTAACCTAACGTTAAAGAAATAAATTAAAAAAAAATAAAAAATATAAAAAAACAACCTGAGTTAACTCAAATTAATTCACCAAACGTATAATCTAGGTTAAAGAAATAATTACAAAATAAAACAACAAATACAAAAATGAGTAATAACTTCTAGTAAAGACCGATATAATTCAATTCAATGTTTTATTCGTTAGGATTTGATTATGTCATAGCTCTATAATAATTATTAATTTAGATTAAGTTTATAGTTGGATGAACTACATTGTTGATATTGACCCTAAAAAGAAAACGAAAGGTACAGTAATTCGTGAACAACAAGCCATTGTATTGTAAAAATTGAATAGGTTTGATTTATAATCATTGGGCCCTCCTAATCTAAAATGATCTATTAAATTCATCAAGTTATTTCAAAGGATCAAAACAACCAGTTATTAAAGGAATTCCTTATTGGCTCTATGTAAAATATTCATTTGGACAAGGGCTTTCAAATATATTATAAGCTAGACTTGTGTTAAGAATAACCAACCTGCAATGAATAGGAACGTATAATAATACTATGAATGACCCAATATCAAATACCAGTAATAATATCAGTAAAAGAATGTTTTCATGTGCTTCTAGATATAAAATTAAGATAAATTCATAAAAAGCAAATAAAAAAACATATTAATGCGTCTATTCGACTCTCCCTATTACATGTTGACTAATTGTTTTTCTAACACATAATGTGTAGGTGTTATTAACCTGTTTTTTGATATTGAATAAAAAATATAATCGTAAATCAAAACATCGATGTTAGAGTGTGTAGGTGTTATTAACACGTTTGTTGATATTGAGTAAAAAATATAACGGTGAATCAAAAAGTCAATATTTACATATAATCAACTATAATAAATATCATATGTGTTAATAAATATATATAAGATCTCAAACTAATTTTTAATGTAGTAAAAGAATAGAACAATGTTGTAATTATTACAATGAAATACCATTTTCTTAATCTTTGCATGATAAGTTTTCAAAAAAAAAAAGTAAAGACAAAAAGAAAAAAAATTACAAAAAATAAAGATAAGAAAAAGAATGGTGATAAATAAACTAAGTATAAAATGATAAGAATACCAAATATAAAAAGAAAAAAAACTTGTTTTCTAAAAAAATAAAAATGATAACATAATTTTTCCATTACTACAGAAAAAAATTAGAAAAATTTATAATTATATGTATAGTTTTCTATTTTTCTATTTTTAGTCCTTGTAATTTTAGAATTTTATATTTTAACCATAAACTTTATATTTTAATGTTTTAATCCCTAGATATTGAGATGAAAAAGAGAGAGATTTTAGACATTCACATTTTAATTAAAAAAATATTGATCTTGATGTTAATTGGTTTATTTTAAAAAAGAGAGTTCAATTAAAGTGATTTTTACCCTTTAATCATGTTGAAAAAAATAAATCAAGGTCCATACTTTTTGTTTATTTTGTTTTTTTTATTCTTAATTAAAGATTGTTTTGGGAATTTAAATGAGCTTATTAGAGTATCTACGATGTTTTGGAGTTTTTTTTTTTTTTATATATATATATATATAAAGTTGAAATTTAAGTTGTAGGGGTTGGAAATTCATGTTATTAATTAAATAAATTCATCAAAACAAGAAAAAAAACACATAAATAAGAAATGGGGATTTTGACTAAATAAATAAATTATTTTCTCCAAAGTCTTAATCTCTTAAACTCTTTCAAATATTTATTTTATTTGCTGCAAAATTAAATAAAAATCAACTTTAAAAATAATCTCAATACCTCTATTTTATCTTCTATTAAATAGTATATATTATCATGAACTAGCAAGATACTTTGTAATCAAAACTTATAAAACTTTTTAATGTATATATATCTTTTACTTTTTACTAAATAAATCAACTTTCAGCTCTAGTCTTTAATTAACATTAATAATTTTTTATATAATTTATTAATTTATATATTTTTTAATTTTTTATATTAAACGTATGCATCATTTTTTACTTCTTAATTAAAAAAAATTATGATATAAAAAACACATTCGTAACTTCAGTATTTTTTTTTAATATTAAAAATTAACTTTAAATACCGCTGAACATTTTCAAAGGGACAAAGGATTTCTGAAAGGAATATAATGTTTCGCTGAATCACCTGTAAACAACAACGAAACCTTCCATCCTTGTATCTTGCATTTCTCAAAAATACATGCTAAGATGTAGTTAATACCATTAATGATTCCTTATGCACCCACCAGGTTCTGCAAAACAATAGGGAAGAAAATGAGCAGAGTTCTATCCCCTTGCTGAATTCATACTGTTCATCTTGGTCATGCTGAACGGATGGTATGATACTTGTCATCATCGCTGATACGTTGTGTCTTCTCCGTGATAAAACTGTTCTTTGTAGCGGCGAGAACAGCTTAATCCAACCATTACATCCTGCAAAATCAAAGCTGGTCAAGAACAGTGATGACTTGCACAAGAAAAAACAGCTTCTGTGACTCAGACAAAACAATACCTCAGTACAATCCCAACCACCTGGCATGACTTGGGTATAATACAGCTTCTGCAACCGAGCGGTTTGGACCGGAGTGTAATGAAACATGGAGTTATGCATTCTTGTTTCACTCTTCAAGAATCACTGATGAAACTGTGCAAAAGGGAAAGTTAATGGAAGAGCTAATTCTGCAGAGCAATCAATACTAGTATTTTGTAAGGGCAGGCAGGCAAGCATGAAGTTCTGCTATGCATTGAAAGACCCAATTTAGCAGTTGCGCTCTCGGTAGCTCCAGAAGCAGTTCAGCCTATGAATAATTAACAAAGAAAAGTATATAAATAAATGTTAAGGACACTGTTTAAATTCCGAAGACAGCTTTAGGCAACCATAAATTTAAGTGGTAGATTATAGCGGTGCTGTGATTAATCAACCAAGAACAAAAAATGTTAAAAGAAATTTTTTAAACTACCAATAGAGCTTTAAACAATCCTAAATATAACTGGTAGAGTTCATCAGTTCATTATCTTGAATCCATAGTGATCCAGAAGACAAAAGGAGTGAAAACTCAAACTACATTAATGATGTTGAAGTGACCAGCATAGAAGAGCATAAAACATATTTTCTTCACTCCCCATGCTCCAGTTAAATAAAATTTAGGTCAAGAGTTTCCGTTTATTTCCTTTCTTCACCTCTGCGGAGGCAAGGACATTCATGTTTATCACATCATTGAATGAGAGCACGAGTGTCAAAGAAGAGAGAACCAATTAATATCGGCACAATGCCACCTATCATAAAGGTAATCCCATAGGAAATATAGCACAAATTACCTTTATTTGGTTTCCATCAAAAACCAAAGAGTTTCTGTGGATATCAGATGACATTGAATCTGCCATCAGCTTGAAAACCTTTGTACTCATATTTGTTTCCGTTCCAACCATCTTTCCAGATGCGTAAATTCTCGTTATCCCAATATCTGCTGCCATTCTCCTAATGTAAAGCTTCTTCAATTGAATTTCCATAGAGCAAGGCTCTTTTCCATATTGGCAACGCAAATTTTCTGTAAATTGCATTAAACTCCAAATATCTGTCTCTGCAGCTTTCTCAGCTTCATTAGTAATTTCCATGGGGTTCTCCAGGGAATTTATGTAGTTAGAAGGGGGATGAAGGTTTATATTTAAATCAATCTGGCATTGAAAACCACAAACAAGGGATTAATTTGAGTAAAAAATCATTGCCATTTATAGACTCAATATATCTAATGCTACATTGCATTTTACACCACTGTCAACACTGGAAGTTGGAGGTTCAATGAAAGTTGGTAGTTACTTCAGTAATGTAGATTCGATTATGAGCTAACATATAACTCTGAGCTGAATAAAGATATTGCTAACAGAAATTATTCTGATCAACCAAGCTAACTAGTCAGGACAGTTGACATGTCCATGTTGAAATCAGTTTTCACTTTACACTTGTAACCAAAAGATTAGTGCTCCTAGTCATGCTTCTACCAATCAGTTTTCACATTCTAAGAATGTGTTTATTTAAGGGCGCACCTCTTGAAAAACATGAAATTCATGTTTTCTGTGAGGCACGCCGTGCGGTGCACCTCATAGACAAACACATCCTAAAGCTTTCATGCTAATGACAAGCTCAATCTTTGTGCCTGTGTGAGAACTTATTGTTATATATATATATATATATATATTTCTCTTTGATAAGTGTTTTCCAATTTCATTAGAGTTCTGATGAAGGTAAGATTTGAACCTAATACCTCACCCCTCTGCCCTCTTGCTTATGCAAGCTGCAAGCTACGAGCTCATTAGAACTTGTTATTAAAGAAACTCGAGCATGAGCACACTTTTCTAAAGACACATAAAATGGAGATTTATTCTTTTTTCTGTCAAGAGGAAGCTCCTTTCAGAATTTTCAAAGCCCATTCTTTCATTAGAATCTCAACATAAGCAAAATGATGCCACAGGAAATTTAGAATATGGCACCCTAAATCCTTGTAGTTTCCGTATGTAGTTTGCTTACAGGTTAATAAAACTTACTGTATTCTGACAGAAAATATGCCAGAGATTAAAGAAGTCACCTGTACTGACTGGTCTGAAATTACACGGTGCTCGTCAACCTAAAAACAAAATTCAAGAGGGTTAAGGGAAGCAAAAGTAGCAGCACAGAAATTCGAAGTTTAAACCAGTGACACTAGAAATATGACCCAATTACTAGTACATATACTGAATTCACTAGCGATCTTTTTGTAGAGCAGAAACTGTGCTGTTGGTTTACTTGATCTATCCAATTAGACTAAGACAACATGATGAAGACTGGAAACCGAAAAAGAACCAGAATGCAAAGATATCCAAAACACGAAATACATGACAATTAAACAAAGCTTCTTCTTTCTCATCGTATAAGATATAATAAAATCCATCATGAAGCAGACCTTGGACAAACTTTCAAAAAGCATTTCGAAGAAGAAATCAATTCCAAAATTCCCAACTTCCCCAGTCTGTTGCTCACCAAAGATGGTACCAAAGCCTCATATACCCATGTCTCTCTCTGGAAGTTGGAAACCTCGGCCAAGTTCTTGGCATTCTTCTAAAGCTGCTAGCCTCTCCTGAAAAGTCAAAGATTGCAAAGTTACTTGAAAATCATAGTAGGGATATGATGATAATCAAGGTGAGCTAACAAAAAGGAATGGATGTATTGCAGAGCATACCAGCGCTTGATCAGTTAACATTGACTTGTCAGGGTAAAATAAATGCGCACGAGCTTCATTATCAGCCCTGCCCACTCTTCCACGCAACTATTGCAATAACATCAAAGATTGAAAATAAGATTAAAAATTTTCCAGCAACAGCAAAAACAAGATAAAGAATTCTAGACACATTCCAGTTTCTTTGTTCCATAAATCATTGAAGCTACTTGCTGGTTTTCCATAATTGATATATATAGGTCAGGGGATGAAGAAAATAACTTAATTCCACAAACACTTCTGCATTAGAGAGATGTCCAAAGATAAATGCATAGTTTAGGAGGGAATAGGGAAGTGGAAAAGCCAATTTTTCTTCTACTTGTAGGAGACCTGAGACTTATTTTGAGCAAATCTAATGCTAATTTTTAGCAGGTGGGGAAAAATAGCGAGAAGCAAAACATACAAGAATGGGTCGTTAGCTTGGGGGCTGGAGCTGCAAACAAAGTGAAATAACATGCTTGAGATCTCATAGTTTTGAGAAGAGTTTTCAATATAAACAAAAAACAAAAGAACGAACGCTTTTGAATATTCTGTGAGCTTTTTGAAGAAATGTCTAAACATTAAACAAGAGAAAGCGAAGAGGGCAGAACCTGATACATTTGAGCTTAGACCAAATAGTTGAACATCCTGAATTATGATGGTATTTGCATTTTGAATATCAAGCCCGCTTTCTACTATATTTGTGCATATAAGAATCGTAATTTCACCTTGTGTGAATTGCTCGATGGTGTCCTCTAGCAGCTTTGAACATTGCTAAACACACAAAACAAGAAAACAAAATCACAATGTGTGGGAAACCAAAAAATAAGTTTGTATGCTGGGAAGAATTAAAACTAAAAAACCATAGAATCTGAGATCTGATCAACACATGACTTTCGAGGTTAAGTCGCTCTACTTTATGAATTGACCAAGAGAAAAGGTCCATATTCCCTTTTTCAAGGCACGGGAGATGGCCACCCATAAGGAGTTAGAGCGGCCCGCACCAATTCATTCAAGAGGTGGTGCACACCAACCCCTCATGTAGGAATTAGTGCACTTGTATATCATTTACAGCATGAGTTGAGCACCAAGCCAGCAGCACACCAAGTCTCACTATGGAGCCTAGGTGGTTGGCGCATTCCATCCTCGTATTAACAAGGACTTCAATCTCTATATATTTCTGAACAGTGCTGCTACCTTTACTAACAAAAAGCTATTCCCTTTCTTTGTTACATGCTGCAGGAAAGTCCCGCCCACACCCAAACGGCACTCCCCTTTTCCAGCCGTACAACCACCCCAAAATACAAGATTGAGTCGGAGCAGGACCCCATCTCCATCCTTAACGAGAGAATTCGGCGCGAACACCATGGTAAGAGAGAGGGCTCAAACTCGAAGCCCATAATGGACTCTGAGGAGGTTGATCAGTACACACAGATGGTGAAAGAGCAGCAGCAGAGAGGATTGCGGAAGTTTAAAGGCGACAGGGTAACAAAAGAAGGGGATGTTTTCAGTTACAAGGTGGACCCTTATACCCTTAGTTCCGGGGATTATGCTGTGCATAAGAAGGCGGGAATTGGGAGGTTTGTTGGGATTAAGTTTGATATGTCAAAGGGTTCTTCCGAGGCTATTGAGTATGTATTCATTGAATATGCTGATGGGTAGCTAAGCTTCCTGTTAAGCAAGCTTCTCGCATGCTTTATCGATATAATCTGTAGGTTTTCTCTATTTTCTTGAACTGATTTTACATTGCCAGCTTCCTTATTTATTGTAATGTTTGATAAATTGTTGCTTGTTTTGTTAAGATATTTATTTTAAATTGTTAGTGAAGTTCATTGGTGTGTTCTGTTGCCAAAACTGTCCGTATGAATTCTCTAATTGGCATGTAAAAATCTTGTCACGATTTTTTACCATGTCCTTCCAGCCCGAATGATACGAAAAAGCCTCGGACCTTGAGCAAATTGAGCGACAATGGTGCCTGGGAAAGGAGAAAGACGAAAGGAAAGGTTGCAATACAGAAAATGGTGGTTGACTTAATGGAGCTGTATTTACATAGGCTAAAACAAAGGAGACCTCCCTACCCAAAAACTCCTGCCAATCTGCCATGGTTGACTTTTCTGCTCAGTTTCCTTACGAACCCACACCAGATCAGCAGGTAGCTACTCTATCTTACAAATTATTACTTCACTGCCTTGTTAAAATCTGGATGCGAGGTTTCTTACGCGTCCTTGTTTATGTCAATGAAATGCCAGTCCTCTTTGCGTGGTGCAAGACAATCCATTTTTGTTCTTAGTTACTGTCGAGATGATGTCCGTATTTACAATTATTTTTCATTTGTTTGGAGAGGATAGGAAGCCTCAGCCATAGATATAGCCGTAGCTTTCACAGAATTCAACACCATCTTTTCCCTTTTCACAGGTTCAACATCCATCGTTTCATCACACATGACACAATAAACATGACAAGTTTATCTAAACAAGTTTTGTCCTTTACAGCTACCTTTTCTTTTCATGTGCTCACAAATTTGATACTCGTTCCAGGCTTTCATTGACGTCATGAGGGATTTAACCGAGAGAGAAACTCCAATGGACCGATTAATTTGTGGAGATGTTGGGTTTGGTAAAACAGAAGTTGCTTTACGTGCCATCTTTTATGTTGTCTAAGCTGGAAAACAAGCTATGGTTTTAGCACCAACAATTGTTCTAGCGAAACAGCTTTTGACGTTATTTCAGAACGCTTTTCCAGGTATCCCCATATCAAGGTTGCGCTTCTGAGTCGGTTTCAGGCATGTAATTTATCTTTCTAGCCAATTCAGCGTTTCTTAAGAGTTAGTTCATGTTCTTATTCGTGTTTAACATGAACAAAATTCAGACAAGATATCTCTTGAAATAGAGTTCATTGTTTGATTATGAAGGTCTGACAACCATTTCTGGAATCAGGCATGCAGTTCACCGTCAGTTGTATGCTCTTTTGATTTATAATTACTACTTTGGTTCTATGAATGTCAGACCCGTTACCGCAGAGTAAAGCAGAGACAGAGATGTATTTGGAAATGATTAAACATGGTCATTTTGGACATTGTCGTGGGAACTCACTCACTTCTTGGAAGTCGTGTTGTGTATAACAATCTAGGTCTTCTTGTGGTGGATGAAGAACAGGTTTGCCTCCAAAGCATATTTCAATTATGTGCAATGTTCTTTGCCTTCTTGCTGTACATTACTAGATCCTTTTAGACAATTAATAAGAGAAAAGGTAAACGGAACTTTTCCATCAACCATGACTTTGCTAATGAGAAGGAAAAGAAAGAATCTAGGGTGTGTGACTTCAAGCTCCTTATCTGTAAACACACACGTATCTAAATTTCAAATTGGTCATGCGGATGCGTCAAAATGTGATGTATGCAAGAGTAGGTTCAAATTGCATCAAGTTTATAACGTAACTACCATACCCCTCTTAGATTTGATCTTTAATCTAATACAAATCATGCATGTCAATTTTCATTTTATTGGGTGTCGTGGACATTTAAGCTTCTCTTTCAAATTAATGTTTTCCTTTATATTTCTCATTATGGAAGTTGTTACTGATAAACAGTGATAGAAGAAAAAAGATTGGTTGTGTGAAGGACTAGCTACAGAGCTGAAGAAGAAAGAAGGATTGGTTATGTTAGGATTGCTGTTAGTTGTTATAACTACCTATAATAGAATTGTAATTAATCCTAACTACTTTATAACTGCCAGCAACAATTATAATAACTGTCATAAGAGTTACAATCTGTAGCTATATATATGCATGCGTATATACAAATGAAATATAAAGAGAAAAATATAATCTTCAGAAAAGAATAATTCTCCTATTTCTATCTTGGTATCAGACCTTTCTGAAAGAGAAACTTATTTCCCTATTTGATTCAGCCATGACTTCTGCTTCAAGTCACCCCTCCTCCATCTCCAGTCCTCTTGGATCTGGACAAACCACAACAATGGCACTCACTTCATCCTATCAACAGCTCAACCATGCATTACTAGTAAAACTTGATCGAACCAACTATGTTTTGTGGAAATCTCAGATTGATAATATTGTTTTTGCTAATGGCTTTGAGGATTTCATAGATGGCACCTTTGTTTGTCCAGGAAAAAGAATTGAGTGCAGGTGTAATCAATCCAAAGTTCATTACTTGGAGAAGACAAGATCGCACAATCCTCAGCTGGATTTACTCATCTCTCACACCAGCTATCATGGCACATATCATTGGACACACTACTTCTCAATCTGCTTGGAATGCATTGGAGAAGACCTTCTCTTCTTTTTCAAGAGCCAGAATAATGCAACTAAGGCTTGAACTGCAATCCACAAAGAAAGGATTCCTACATATGATGGACTATATTATGAAGGTGAAAGGAGCTGCAGACAGTCTAGCAGCCATTGGAGAACCTGTATCAGAACAGGATCAAGTCATGAATCTACTTGGAGGACTCGATTCTGACTACAATGTAGTAGTTACAACTATCAATATTAGAGATGATAAAATCTCAGTTGAAGCAATTTATAGTATGCTTCTAGCATTTGAAAATCGACTTGAGCAACAAAGCTCAGTAGATCAAATCTCTGTAATGGCAGCCAATTATGCCTCTTCCTCTAATAACAGAGGTGGTGGAAGGAGATACAATGGCAGTAGAGGACACAGCTACGCAAGCTTCACTCCAAATGCCAGCAATTACAACTACAGAGGCTGTGGTCGTGGGGGAAGATATACACAGAGTGGAAGACATAATTCAATCAGTTCAGAAAAGCCACAATGTCAGTTATGTGGCAAATTTGGGCATACAATACATGTCTGTTATCACAGATTTGACATTTCCTGTAAAAAATCTTCCAATAATGGTACTAACTCTGTGAATATGAATATCAGAAGTTAAAACAATATACCTGCTATGGTTGCCTCCTCTAATAATCTTGCAGATGACAATTGGTACCTTGACTCTGGAGTAAGCCATCACCTGACTCAGAATGCTGGGAATCTAATCAATTTTACTCCATACACAGGGACATATAAGGTCATAGTTGGTAATGGTAAGCACTTATCCATTTCCAATATTGGTTTCCTTCGTCTAGTCTCTAACTCTCGATCATTTCAACTCAGAAAGGTGTTCCATGTTCCATTCATCTCAGCGAACTTGATTAGTGTTGCTAAGTTCTGCTCAGATAATAATACCTTGATTGAATTTCGATCTAATAGTTTCATTGTGAAGGATCTGCATACGAAGAAGATACTAGCATAAGGCAGACTTGAGAATGGACTTTACAAGTTCCCAGCATTGAGCAATGAAAAGATGGCATACATTGGCATCAAAGACTTTTCTGCTTTTCATTCTCCAATCTCCAGAACCACTAAAAAAAATATGAATATATGGCATCACAAATTAGGCCATGCTGCCACTGATGTTGTAGCCCAAATATTACAAAGCTGTAATGTTTCCTATGAAAAGAATAAAGCTACCGATTGTTCCACTATATGTTCTTCTTGTCAGCTTGCCAAAAGTCACAGATTGCCAACCTATCTCTCCTCCTTTCGTGCTTCCAAACCATTGGAATTGATTTATATGGATATCTGGGGGCTTGCCTCAGAAAAATCCACATCTGGTGCTAAGTACTTTATTCTGTTCCTAGATGATTTCTCACGGTACATGTGGTTCTATCCATTACATTCAAAGGATTAAGCTCTCCCAATGTTCCAACAATTCAAACTCCAAGCAGAGAATCAATTTGATGACAATATAAAATATGTGCAGTCTGACAATGTAGGGGAGTTCAAATCCTTCATCACCTTTCTTCAACAGGCTGGTATTGTACATCGTTTTTCCTGTCCTTATAACTCAGTTCAGAATGGGAGAGTAAAAAGGAAGCATAGACATGTTGTAGAGACTGG